ACATGAAACTAGATCTTACTATTCTCAGAGATAAGGAGGAGAGGGTAAACCTAATATAGCTTTCTCTAAAGTAACAACACATTTTTAGTAAATATACCAGGCAGACATAAGGATGAGTAAATGAGTAGAATCTTTGTGAGTATTTGCAACTGCTCAGAAGCTTTAGAAATTTTTCTTTTGACTTAGCTTTCCAGGGGCGTTTATAAATCTCTCAAGAAATTTAGTTTCATTTGTTTATAGATTTCCTTCTCATTTTCCCATGATGCTAATAACATATTCATTCTCTAATAACCCTTTTGTCAAGACTTAGTACCAAATATCATCAGGTTATTTTTAAAACTCAAATTCATTTTTAAAGAACAAAAATCTGGCATCTTGATTCTGAAATAATTGTGAAAAATATGATTCACACTCTAATAGCAACTTCACAAAAGAGCTTCTGAATGGATGATTCTTATTTGAAGCAATAAAATTAAGATAGATATCAAAATACAGCTGTTTTAATATATTGGTTTAACATTCAGTTGGTTCTGATATCTCTAGTCCTATGCCTGCATGTCTATCTATATATAATTCAAGTTACCATCCCAGCATGTAGGCCTGTATTTCTTAAAGATATTTTGAGTATTTAATCATGTTCTTGATCGCCTTCAACTCAGAGAATTTCATTTCATGGGAGAAAGATAACTTTTTTCAGTAATATAACACACAGGTTGATGTTACTCCCCCTTTTTACCACATGCTTTGAAATGTACATTCGTGATGAAAATTATGAATAATGCGAAAGATTCATTCATGCTCCCAAAACATATTGCCTTATTGAATATTACATAGTTTTACAAGCTTTAAAGCTATTGATTTTTGCTTACAAATTAAAATTATTTTCCCCCATGCAGTATACTAGAAAATTCTGTCCTAATTTTAATTTAATACCTTTTTAGTAGATATGTGATCACCAGCTTGTCACCAATAGTCATTCCTGACCATAGCCCTATACAGGATTATATAATTAGGGAAAAGGAACATTGACCCCTTGCATAGCTGTACGTTTTGGTGTGTTGGTAACTGCTTTTCTTAAAATGAGACAGTTTCCATAACTTTTAATGGCCCTACTTCTGTTTGCTTCTCCATGAAAAAAATTATTTAGCATAACAGAAAATTTAAAATTATATTAGAAACTCACAATTTTATTATTGACAATGCTTCTTTTTTAACATGGCATATACTAATTTAAAGTGCTTAAATATGTAGAAGCACCATTGTGAGTTACACCTCAATCAGCTTTTCCATAAAAGTAATTTCTTTCATATCTTAAATCTATGTTTTTCATTTTATTTGCTTTCTATGGAATAATTTTAGAACTTTAGTTTTATTGATATTTGTCTTTTACTTGCTATACACTGATATTTCTTTTGGCTTTAAATAAATTAAAAAATATTTCCCAATAAAACCATCTCACTGAAAGACAAAGTATGGTCTTGGGAGAGAAGTTAATTTTAACTACCTTTCATTTCATTCTGATACTTTGAAAATTGATCATTGAAGTCTTCCTCAAGTCATCTGGTATAATGGGAAAACAAAGTATCTAAAATGTATACCTGTCCTCATACCTGCCTCAAAAATTAATTTGTATCACTAAAAATATTAAGGAGAGAAAGGACCACAACTTCATCAATAAATGGAGGTGATTATTTTCTCATATTTAAAGAAGCATAGTCAATTTAATCATGGTTGATTAGACTCAAGACAACTATATGCAATCATTATGCTCAGTAGAATATTAAAACCAAAATAAACTCCATTTTTACTCTTCATACATTTGAAAATCAATCCAATAGTCTTCTTTATTAATTCCACTAATTTTCCTCATATACTTTTGAATCTATATTATACAAAGGACAACTCATTCTGCCCTAACTTTGTACACTTAACATGCTATGATGAAACAATCTCATGGAAACTCTCAATAGGTGCTGCTAACTTAGTGCTTCTGAAATTGCCTTTTGTGTGCTATCAAGGTAATTGAAATCCATTTGATGGATGTTCTAAACTCTGAGTCCTTTATCTATATATATTTTATTGGTTAGCCTTTAATCACATTCCAGATTACAACAGTTAAGGCTCATCATTATTTACTCATTTTCTGTGAAATTCCACTACATAAAAATTCTATATAGCCTGAAGTCTAATACTAGAAAGATTCATTTACAATATTCATTTTTAAAAATGTAACTTTCACTTTAGAACACCAGGATCATCTTAAGACCTTTATTACTCTCATAAATTATATAGTTAGCAACTAGAGGCACATAGTTAGGTACAAATTTAGGTCTTTGATGGATAGGAACCATGTGGCTGGCTAATCTATAGACTGTATCAAGAGTCAGTTCCTAAGAATCTTTTCCCCATGATTCAGTTTGAAAAAATGATGATATCATGACAGCCTCAGTGTGTGTGTGTGTGTGTGTGTGTGTGTGTGTGTGTGTGTGTAACGGGGCCTCTGGAGTCCTCATCCCAGAACTCTTTCTTACTCACTAGGCACCAAGGAAATCCAGCTTCAAGACTTCTCTCCTTTCTCCCTAGCTGTAGTTGTTGGTGGACATGAGCAGAATTACTAGCTTTTTGCCTTGTAAAAAAAAGTTAAACCAACCTCACATAGTTACAAGTTGACTACAATTTTGTTTCCATGGAGTTACCCAGGAGATATTCATGGTGCCATTAATAGATTAAACAAGAGGCGTGTATATTAATGTATGTGTGTATCAGAGCAGTGATATAATTTTCAGTAATACATTTTCCTTTTATGGTGCTGGGTGCCTGTAAATCAATGAGTATCTTTTGACAAAAAGGAATATGTAAGAAATGTCACTCTCTACTCAAGGCCAGTAGATATGCTGAATACACCCATAGGTTTCTAAACAATGGCAGGATTTTTAACACTACTGACACATTTTTGCTGCATACTGTCTGAAAATGTCTGAATATTTCATTAAAAGATATATTGAGTGAAGATAGTGGATTGACCCAGTCTAATTCATCAGTAACAAAGTGATTATAGATAATATAAATCAGAATCACCTCTATCTTAGATGTTTTCCTTCACTTTTATGTCACGTTAAGAACATTGTTAGTGAATGGAGCTATTGGAATTATCTATTAGGAGTGGTGGCTACACATTAAAGATAATTGTTTGATTATAATATTCAGATTCATTGAGTTTCTAATCGTCTTCTTTATAGGAGGTATTCAAGGATTTCTAATTGAATTTATGACCTTGTACTGAAATTACATCAGGAAACTCTTTATGGTTATTCATATAAGCCTACTTATTTTATCCTCATATTTATTTTTCCTTCATAGTATTTCTTTTGTACTCTAAAGAAAACATGATTTATTTAAGAAGTTAATTAACTAATGTAAAATTTACTCCTATTATCTTCCTATTTAATTAAGACTTCTTATTTATGTCATCGCCTTAGGAAGGGCTACAAGTATTCCTGAATGTCAGTCTCTTATCTATTTCTCTCAGCTTTTAAATGTAATAAAGTGCCTGGATTCTTTATTTGGTATTTCAAATCTCCTTTCCTTCATGTCACAAAAGATAAATTTACACGGCTGCACTGACAACATCACAGGTTTGAAAATGAGTCCACCCGTTACCTTATAAATAGTTCAGTCACTTTAATCCATCTTCCTCTGCCCATCACTCTAATGTCAAACTTACAAGTTTAAGAATGCACTTTTCTCAACTTCTAGTTTTAAAACAAGACTCCAAAAGTCTATTCACCTAACCAGCTCACACTAACAGAGATAGCATTTGAACTAACAAGATGTCAATCAGCAAGCATTCTCATGTAGGAATATTTGCTAATGGTGTCCTGGCATTTCTGTTTTAATGAACATTCATTGCTAACAATGGCAAGAGTCTGCCTGTCCTAAGACGTGTGTAGGTGAAAAGGGTTGGGTGCTGAATTATTCATCTCACTTCTGTGTGTTTTCAGTATTTCAGTATAACCATCCATCATCTATAGCTTTTACATAGTTCTGGTAGCTCAATCCCAGAATGTGTGTGTGTGTGTGTGTGTGTGTGTGTGTGTGTGTGTGTGTGTATTTGTTTGTTTCACTTATCCTAGCCAAGTTCTTCTTTGTTTAATATTAACTTCCCAGAGTCCATAGCTTTGCATTTATTAAATTTTAGAATGGAACTGAAATGAAAGGCATACACAGGATACCCACGGATCAGAGATTGCAGAGATTGGAAAGTTTCTGGAGGTCATTTAATCTATAATACCATGAAGGACACAGATTTTCACATCTATCTAAGATCTAGGACCTGATTTGGAAAGTCCTTGAATTGTCATGAAGTTATAGAAGATTCTCAAATGAGCTGAAGCAGGTACTAAGAAGTACATTTGTGAATTTTGTCATTTTACCAATTCCTCTCTTTTGAAGTAGCACCTGCTCATAATCAGAGATTATTTGTGGATTTCTATAGGTTGCGCATAAAAAATTCATACCCAACACTCAACATCATCACTTTCTAAGAGTTACAGAACATTTAGCTTGACTTGCCAATGCATAATTTTCTTTTCACTTGTGAGGCTTCCCTGCTGCAAACCAGAGAATAGCTGTTTCAGCTAAGAAATTGAATTTGCATTCTCCTGTTTCCTGGTGTGGAGGTCTACACCAATCATGATTCATTCTGAATAACCAACATCCTGGAGCATAATGCATATTTTTCAGTCTTTACTGGAAAAGTAAGTTGGGTTTTACGGCTTGAAAATCACAAGTCTTTTCTGGCTACAACTTCATCATAAGCCCCACAACTGCAGCCATATGCTTTTGCATTTCAAACTTCCATATCTCAAACCAGTTTTCTGTTCTAACAGTCCACCATAAAAAAAAAACCAGTGTGATTTAATGTTTCTTTTCAACAATGGATATATTGCTGAACATTAATCTGTTAACATAGGAAGAAAATAGCAGTCTGTTGTACTCACATGGCACTGTGCGGAGGTAGAGGTTGTCACGAATGATTTGCTGAAGTTCGTGGTCCACAGAACCCTTCTGAAATCGTAAGTTGAGGTAGTGACGAAGATCCTTATCAACAATCCCGCCTAGAATAATAGAGTTTCTTAGTAAAGAATACTGGAGAATACTTTAAGGGTGTAATTTTCTTCTGTCATACATATAATCATGAACCCATTTAAACGATGCATTATTTCACGTTGCTCTTTTGACCTTCCGAACATTTATTGCCTTAATAACAAAAGATAACATTTACTGAGATAATAATTGTCCACCCGGTCTGTGTTCAGTGTTTTACATGCATTTGTTAATTTATTTTTCATTTAGAATGAAGGTAAAAGATACATATTACTCCTGAACTGATGCTGAAATGTCTCTCATTGAATGGCTAAAACGTCCTTTCCCTCCCCCCCGCTCCACTTCTCATTCTCTCTTTCCCCCAACCTCTGGCAAGCAACATTCTACTTTCTGTCTCTATGAATTTGACTACTCCAGGTATCTCTTATAAGTAATGTAATATAATATTTGCCCTTTTGTGACAGGCTTATTTCACTTAGTATGTCTTCAATGTTTGAAAACATTTTTGTTATTTAAACTAACTATGGATGTAGATAAGTAGAGTGATATGAAATATTAAAGAAAAAACTACACAAATATTAATACTTTACTCCCTTTATAAAATCAAAGTAATTTCTGTCTTATAAAATATGTGGAGATGTTTTTAACTGGATACAAGATTTTAAATAATTTAAGTATTTTTATTACTATAATAAATATTTATTATTATTATTATTATTATAGAAATAATTTTGAGTCTATGTGCCATTACAATATAATAAAAAACAAGCTGGGCTAGAGGTAAGAAAACCAATACTGTGAATTTATCAAAGGTTAATTTCATATTTAAAGATAATTCTATTAAATTATGAAGATTTATCTAAGGCTCCTCTTATTCTTTTTTTTTTAAAGGTTTTTATTGGGGAATTGGGGGGATGGGAACAGCACTGGGGAATTGGGGGAAGGGAGACAGACAAGTTGCTGTCGTTTTGTTCTTCAGTCTGGTTGTGGAGGACGTTGCTTCACTGGCCCAAGTTGGCACCATCACTGCCCTCTTCCCGGGGGAGGCAGATCAGTCGCCGGCTTCTGGACAGCGGCTCACTGCAGCTGCTGGCCGCTCACGCTGGCTGCTGGCTATATACGGTAGCCCATGGCAACCCACTGCCACAGGGGCTGCAGCCTACCTGGTCGCAGGGGACTCACAGCAGCCCAGCTCCAGGTTGAGCTGTTGTTCAGCATCTTAGCTGTAGAGGGCAGTGTCACTGGCCCTCATATGTGGGATCTGAACTGGGGCCCTCTGGTGTCCCAAGCCAGCTCTTAACCAAAGCGCCCCTAGGCCTGCCCAAGGCTCCTCTTATTCTTATACTTGAAAGAATAAATTATATATCAAAATACTTAGAAAAATATAAGTAAAAATTCCCAAAAATCTTATCTTTTCAAGCACCATTAGGATAGTTGAGCCAAGACAAAGAATTAGTGATAGAAGAAATAGAAAATCTATAATAGTCACAAAAATCATATTCTCTTCAAGTCCTTTTGAATCCCAAAATTGCAATTCATCAATCTATTTGCACCATCATGACCCCATAAAATAGCATTATGTGGGTGTGCATATATGTGACACAAACACTTTTTACTCCAATAGTAGTTAATATATTTGCAAACTATACCGAGGGTGCCAAAAAAATGTATACACATTTTAAAATTGTACTAAAATTGTAATACTATATATTGATAACAAATGATGAGTATAAGCCATGTATATACATTTTTTGGCAACCCTGGAATATTGCAATATTTCTGAAGTTCCCAAATTCATTGTTTCAGTTGTCTCCTAATCTGCTGGCACAGCCTCAGTAAGATGCCGTAAGACATAGTATTTTTAACTGCACTGACTACCCAAATTCTTACTCTCCAAACAATGTTTCTCATATATTTCAATAAACAGTCTCAATCTATTTCCCCCAAACATAACATAATAGTGGAAAACAAATGTCATCAAAGGAAAACAAATTGCTTATTGGGTGCACATAAATATTACAACCAGAGTGCTTGCACATATCATTTTCCAAACTCAAAACCATTTTCTCAAAGAAGCAGAGCAGAAATGAAAGTCACTTGAAACTATCATCACACATAGCAACAATTACTCATTATATATACCTCCAAATCCCCAAATACCCTGCATTTCAGTATGTTGAGCTTGCTGACATTACACTGAAGTAGTTAATAATTAGAAACCCTGAAATTCTGTTTTTCTCCCTTGGTCTTTTTCAGTCAGCAGAATGTGCCTGTCCTTGCTAATTCATTGCAGCTATGGAGCGAGCATCATGCCTGACCGTTCTCAGCTGTTGTTTCTGCCGAGTTCTAAGTTTACAGGTCCTTCAACAACTGCACTCCATCTTTTCTTTTTTCCTTCTGTCTAATATGTGGAACATGCCAAGTGGTGAGATGCTTTCTGGCAGCCCAGGAATATGCTAACTATAGAACAACAGATGTATCCTGTCCACTAAAGTAAGCTAGAATCACTCACCTAATGTAACATGGATAAGCTCACATATAAGGATAATTCTTGTTCCTGAAAATATATTATCAGTTTAAACCATCTCTGCCACTACAAATGTAAACTCTCAAAAGTTTATCTACACAAGAAAACAATAAAAAAGCCAGTCAATTCATTCAATGACTTTCACATATCTTTTGATCTAATCTATTGATATTACTATATCAATATCTCTTTTTTCCATAGAAAGATCTGCTGAAGCTTCTGAAAACTGATATAATTTTTTTTATTAATTAAAATGAATCATCACAAATGATGTATTTTTTTGGAAGGACTTTCCCACCTCATATTTCACAAATAATTTATCATCCTTCACAATTTATTATAATGTCCTTCAAGTAAGGCAATTTTATTTACCACTATCTGGATTATGGCCAGTTCGGCTAGTTGCCTACCCAATATTCTTTCCTCTATTCTTTTGAAATTAAGAACCCTGATTTAGTTTCATGTCCAAGCATGCTCAGCTCCAAGACACAGATAGATCATGGTGGTCTGAAACAGTCATACAATCTAGTTCTCCACTTTCCTAGCTGCCCTGACAGCTTCTAGTAGCTATGTTCTGGCCATCAACACCTAACAGCGAAGGAGGTGACTTCTTTATTCACTGAACTAGACTTGGTATCTGAGTTGTAGCAGCCGTATTCTGACCATGAGATTACTCGATCAAGGGAAAAATCCAACATACTAAGGGTATTGGAGTTGAATTCTGAAACAACTTGGGTTCTCGATGGCTTCAGTGAGCAGTCAAAATAATATCAGCAACTACTTACCTTAGGATTTCTTGTTATATGAAAAAAAGTGTGTACCCATGTTCTAAAACTATTATGATTTTTCTGCCATTTGCAACTGTATATGATCCCAATTGATACATAGGTGTATAGAAATGTTTTACATATATATGTATATATAATATGTATACACACATTTAAAGGAATGTTTTCCTTAATTATAGATTTCCTTCAGGGAAAAATTAAGCAACAGACAGTGGGCAATGGCTGAGCTGAAAAATAGAGTCCAGGTCTCAAGACTACCTAATTTCAGGTATGTAATTAACATTCTAAAGCAAGCTAAAAACAAACAAACAGACACACAAACAAATAAAAAACTACTTAGTTTCAATAAGTGTTATCTGTTATTAAAGTAAATAAATAATCTGCTACTTTATTTGCCATAGTTATAATTTTTGGTTTTATTGTTATTGTTTGCCTGTAGTTTCTGTTTTGGCATTTGTTACTGATACCTGGATCTGGTAGCTTATAAGATACCTACATTAACACTTATGTCAAGTATAGCACTCTCAGGTTTGCTGTCTCTTAGCTTTTCTCTTCTTTTCAAAAAAATTCAGTGGCTTTCACTTACTATTATATTTTAATAATTATTGAGATATTTCATTTAACTGTGAAAAATTACATCCTTTATTTTACAAAATGAAGCCACAAATTAAAAGATGTAATACCATCTCAAATTACATATTTGTCAGAGAAATCTAGGAAGGATTTGAACCCTATAATTCTGCTTCTAAAGAATATCGACAGTCTGAAGACCAAAATTCTCAGAAAAAAGCAGTCAAGTCTTTTCTCAACATGACTCCAAACAAGCTTTTCAATCTGACATCCAAAGGTAATTTAAGAAGAACCCTTAGGAGAGAACACAATTCAAACACTTTATATTGCAAATCAGGAAAGTGAAGCTCATACACATTATTTGGCATTGGGTTCAGAGCAAAGATGGGACATGTGGCACAGGGAGCAATGCCATGGATTATTTGGGACGAAAATTCTAAATGTTACCACTTGAAAATGGTGTACATCTCTAGGGTTTCCATAGTTTTCAGAAATGTCTCCAGTAGAACTGCTTTGTCCCCTCCATGGCTTCAATACCCAGACTGAGAAAACAAAGGAAGAAGATGCTGCTTGGCTCAGATGGACAGAATCCTTCTGGCATATTCCTTAAGGAAAATTTTTAGTCTTAGCCTTGTAGCCAAAGATAGACACTCTTCCTAAGGTTGAGGGAGAAGTAGTTCCGGCTCTGTAATGTTTGTGTCAAGGGTCTGATTGCTAGTAGCTGGCAAGAGAAATCCCATTCCTAATTCATGGGCATGAACATTGAGTCAAACTTTCCCTTTCAACTGCTTCTGGAATCAACATGCATCTTATAAACTTAATGTAAACTGGGGAGAGCAGTTCACTCATTGAGATGGTAGGGACCGTAGAAAAAGGAAGGTGGAGATGATCAGCAAGCTAAAGCCTGGCTCATTTTGATGTCATTTATGCCTCCTGTGTTTCAGCCAACTCTGGCTACTTTAACATTCTATTGACCTCATTTATTTCTCCTTCTCTTTACCTCAGTTTTCTGTTACCCGTGTGTACTCCGCAAGATGCTGAAGTAGGCATTTGATTTTTGTTTGTTTGTCTGTTCTTTATCTTTTGTACCCATCTCTGTGCTTTATCTCACACTATTTTCTTTTGG